CCTCAGAGCAGCCTTTCAGTATCTGAAGGGGGCCTATAGGGATGCTGGGGAGGGACTCTTCCTTAGGGACTGTAGTGATAGGACAAGGGGTAATGGGTTAAAACTTAAACAGGGGAAGTTTAGATATAAGGAAAAAGTTCTTTTCTGTGAGGGTGGTGAGGCACTCGAATGGGTTGCCCAAGGAAGTTGCGAATGCTCCATCCCTGGCAGTGTTCAAGGCCAGGTTGGACAAAGCCTTGAGTGACATGGTTTGGTGTGAGGTGTCCCTGTCCATGGCAGGGGTGTTGGAACTTGATGATCTTAAGGTCCTTTCCAATCCTAACTATTCTATGATTCTATAAAACCTGGACATTTGGAACAAATGACCACAGGTATATTTTGGATCTAGCAATAATACAAGCTGTGTCTTGCCAGTACAAATTAACTTTCTTATTGGATTTCAATGTCCCATTCAGTGGCATATTTCAGACACATAAGGGAAACAAATTTTCTCAAGTAATGTATAACATTAGATCCTTTTATCACTGACAGTTTCAAAGTTACTTGTTCCACAATGTAGTCTGCTTAAAAGCTTATTTACCAGCAACTTTTTTTCTTCAACTTTATATTGAGCCAGCTAAATAACTACAGTTAAACAGTAATAAATCATTCAGTTGTCATCAGCTAGAGTTGGTCAGACACTTTCAGGATTACTTCATGTAAAATAAGACATCTTGTAAATAAGAAACATTCTAGGTTCAAATCAGAAATGCATAAAACCGCACCACCAGACACTGGTCAACACACTGTTTCTCAATTGTAACATGTAAACACTCTTGTAATTTGTAGCTTCAGTCACTCATCTCATTGCTATATCCAGAAGAAATCAATTTGAATAATTTTCAGTGGCCACTTGTCCACCAACCCCATTACATCAGCTATTTTCTCCAGACCATAAATGTGTAGGTAGTTCCAGTTTCTATTATTAGCTATGAATGAGTTTGCCTGCTTGTTGAATTCACACTAGTTTAATATTCATTTGTGGCTCAAATAATATTTTGAGTATCAGTGTTTAAGATATCTACTTATTCAAAGCAACTACTAAATAAACATTGGAAGGAAAACAACCAGATGCTATCCCCTAAACCGATACAATCTATTTTTGACAGTATACAAATACACATACCAAATATAGGCATAAAGTTACTTTCCTGAATGTCTGGCAAGATGCTTCATGTTTTATAGTTACAGATTTTTCAGGACACTAAAATTTGTTTTGCCATGAATAAAATATTTTCAAAAAGGATTTTGATCACAGGATATAACAATGGCCTGCTTCAAACTAACTGCTCCCCAGCATGAGCTTAGATTCTTTGTAAAAATTTCTTCCTTCAAAAATCTCTAAGTTCAGTGTTGACAATTTCAACTTCACCCAAATCCAAGAGCTACAGGAAAACAAACCAAAATGAATCCATTTAAAAACAAAACTGAAGGAATTTCAGTTAAGCCCATACTGTCTTCTCTGTGAAAATATGGTTTTAATTATCCCTATCTATCTTTACATGCTGCATTTGAATATTCCCTAACCACCAAAACTCCTGGGTTTTTTTGAGTGGTGGTGTGGTTTAAAATCCAAAAAGTTTGCTCCTGAAGCCATTAAAGATTCCTGAAAATCTTACTTATCTTTCCTCAACATACCTGCAGCTCCCATATAAACTGCTCTTTGTGGCTTCTGTTGACAGTACAATTCTAGATAACTGATTAGAAGTCTTCAACATTTAAAGTACAATAAGCACGCCTATACAAATAGTATAGATGGAAAGAAAATGAGTACTTGCAATGAAAAATTGTGATATTAGAAGTACCTGAATAAAGTAATTCTTGATTTTAACTTCAGCTAAAACAAAATACAAGAAACTCAACCCAATCTGCATGACGTTTTGAAGAAAACAAATGTATAACACAATAGCACAGCAGAGAAATACAGACTCTAAACCTTGATTTACATTAAAGAAACTACAAATGACAAGTTAAAATAACTATGGATGTAAACAATGTTAACACACCTGGTTATATTCCCAAAATATATTTTTATATGGCTTTTTTTAATATCTACCATCGCACAGTGGACTCCAAATGCCTGCTGGCCTGCATTCACTGTAGTGAATGAGCTAGAACTAAAGTACTCTAAAAAGTTTCAGTTCAGACATTGTCTAGCAATTACATTCAGAAAATCTCTAAAACGTTTTTAAAGAGGTATTAGATTTCAAACTCTTACTCTACAAAAAAAACCTGCCATTTACATCTCTTCTCAAATTAAGAGACTTGTAGCTAAGTAACAAATTTAACAGATAACACAACAGATTCCTAGAACGCCAGCAATGAGCTGAAGCCTCATACTGGAACTGTGGAATACAAAACTGCATATAATCTACAATTACTATAATTTAAAGGTGGGTTTTGTTGTTTTCCTAGTTTTTTTTTTTTTGTTTGTTTGTTTGTTTGTTTGTTTGTTTTAAGATATAATATATAATTCTCTCTTAGAATCTCATAGAATGATTATGGTTGGAAAGGACTTTAAGATCATCCGGTTCCAAACCCCCTGCCAATGGGCAAGAATGCCTCACACTAGATCGTGTTGTCCAAGGCTCTGTCCAACCTGGCCTTGAATACTGCCAGGGATGAAGCATGTACTACTTCTTCAGGAAACCTGCTCCAGTGCCTCACCACCCTCACAGTACACTCTCATACACTTTTTACTCTGAGCAAAGAAAACAAACTAAAGTTTCCAAATTTAACTCCACTTTCACATTGTCTAGCATTAGCAAACTGTTGCAATGTTTAAGCTGCAGCCATTAAGAAAAGTGTTTAATAAAGTTTTTTTTATAATGTTTCACTGTTTTTTTAAAAACTTCAAGAATGTATTACGAGTTGTACTAGAGAAGCTTTGCAACTTAATTACTTACAACAGTTCAGAGTCTAATTTTGTTTGAAATAATATCCTCTTAAAATTGCTTCACTAAGGATTTTCTAGGGATTTCCAACATTGGCTTTATACATTTCGCATGTATGTACGCATACATACAATGGAAAAATAGATCTTAAATAGGCATACTTATAAGCATTTAATATATATTAAAAGACAATTGCTTGAAGAAAATACAAAGTAAAACTTTTCAGTGCAACAGTCTAGTTGCCAGACTGTCTGGTTAAATCATGTAAAATCTTTCTGTCTAGTTCTTTTTACTTTTCAATGAAAAAGACCCCAATGTTGTCTCTAAATGAATTTGCACAGTGAAACTGCACCTAGAAACCCTTAAAATTATTAAAAACCTTCAACATTCATGACATGGAAGAAAGTATGTACTGCTATTTTACTGATACTTGAGTCAAATTGTATAGGTGGAAGAAAGAAGAAATCTCAAAATGCTGAATAGGAATTTTCTCCAGCTACTACTTAGCTTTTGCTAGTGTTAAACACCTCACAGAGAATGCTTTCCAAGCAGATACTGAGCAGAACCATTCAAAGAAACCGCCTTCAGCTGCAAGGCCAGGTCTGAAAAAGGGTACCAATAAGAAAGAATTTCATATTGTTTTTTGTTTTCCTTCAGTATGGAATAGTTACATTGGGACCTTTTTTTAAGAGAAACGAATCAAAATTAGCACTACTTTGTAAAGTTCTTGCAGCACAATTACACAGAAAGAGGAATCAGTACCAACAAATCGGATTAACTTCCAAGCACCAATTCTGCAGGTAGCCTGAGGAAGAGCCACTTGAGTGTAGTTTGTGGATATGTTTAGCAGCCTTAGTCAGATTTTTTTGCGGCAGGAAATTAAGCTGCTCTGGACAGATACTTTAGCCTAAAAAGCAGACCATCTCATGATGTTTCTATAGGACATGACTAGAACTAAGTTGATTTATATATTCTTCATAATGCTTACAGTTATTAGCTATACAAATAATGTATACACATATCCTTAGGAAATGAAAGTGAAAAAAAAAAACAATTTAAGAAAACTAATAAGCAGTAAGATGCAGGCAAAAAGCCAAAAAATAATTTTAATCCAGACTTGATCATTGGTCCATGGAGATTAATATCCCACATTCAGAATGTTTAAAAGGTTGAACAGCCTATGAACTGCACCGCCTTGAAACTTTTACATGAAAGAGGATCAAAATTTCTTTGAATCTCTTTGAAACTCCAACAATAGCTACCAATGAAACACTTGTCTAGTTTATTTAATATAATTAATTATCTCAGACATCTCTTAGTGCTCATTTTATTTGTATGACTTGCTACTTACTGATAAAAAGAACTGCTATCTATTTTCCTGACTGGTTTTATATTTAGTTAGACAAAACTTTTACAAGGCAAAACCACCTAAAACTGTTTCGGTGCTTACCCAATGCTCTCACTTTTTTTTTTTTTGCATCCAAACTGAGCTCAATACTAAGTTAAGAAATTTAGCTTTACCTTAATGTAGAAAAAAAAAATTGCATAAAACTTTATCTTGCAGAAACATCCACTGGGGATGATCCATTATAAAGCTAACAAAAAATCTACCCCATTTGGTAACTTGCCTAGAAAGGACAGACATCTTTTCAGGATACTTCACTAGCTTTCCAACAAAAACAGTTTGAGCTGGCTTATGAACCTCCTTTACAATGTCAGGTTGGCCCAGACTCTACCGCCACAAGTTGCCAGAAAGCTGGTTTCCATGGTTGTATGTATTGTCTCTGAATGTCATTCGCAAAACACAGAATCATAGAATAGTTAGGGTTGGAAAGGACCTTAAGATCATCTAGTTCCAACCCTCTGCTGTACGCAGGGATACCACACACTAACCTATGTCACCCAAGACTCCATCCAACCTGGCCTTGAACACTGCTAGAACATTTCAAGGAAAATGAGATTCAGATTTTTTTAAAACTGATATCGCATAGAGAATGATATACAAAGGGATTTGGTGATTCTCCAAGAAAAGAAAGCTTAACAAAGAATATGTCCAGTTAAACTGACCTGTTGGAGTCTTCTTTTTTTTCTTAACCCACCATTGTTCTTATTCTTTTGTTCATTAAACTTCCTGCAACAGCCATCAGTAGCAGGACACTCTGAAACTTGATTTTCATCACCTAGAAACCAAATTTAGAAACTTAAAATGAAAAATGTAATCTTGTGAAATGAAACTGCTACCAACTATTTTTATCATAGCACATAGAGCTATGTACAATTAAGACACCTAAGTTAATAATATGTACCAGCTATTTTTCCACTGTATTTCAGTTACAGAAAAAAGAATAACATTCAAGCATCATTAATCTTTCAGTATTTGATCTTGTAAATAAACTAGTTGCAAAACTCCCTATTTCCAGTATTTTGAAAATTATGTATTAACTACAAGTAAAGAATTAGCTAAACTGTTTTATAATTATTACAAAATTTGCGATTTTGTAATAATTATAAATCTTAATCCCTGAGGTAAGAGAACAACAATAAATCACAACACAAAAAATGATGAGAACATTTTCCGTTACTGGTTTCTTATTTTGAAATTATAAACTTTAAACTAGTCAAAATTTAATCAGTTCTTCATACTAACGTTGCAAGTTTAATGTCAATTTACACAGTATTACAGTGATTTTTGTGTAATACAAGTATCCTGGCTTTTGGTACAATTGTTAATTTAAACTCAGTATTTAAACACAAAATGCCTTTTAACAAAGGGAGAGCTAAATACTTAGTTTTATTCAGTATTGCACTGAGACCCATCATCTTCAATCACTGAGGAGGACTACTGGCAATTAGAAAATATTTTGTTACACAATTAAAAAAAGAAGAAAAAAAAAGCTAAGAAATGTAACTCCTTTTACATGGAAACCAGGATTTTTTTGAACATGTATTTTGAATTAAAAATAAAAAAAAATAGATAATCTATTCCATTGCTTTACCCAAAGTGGATTAGGGGGAAGCAAGGTATGCCTCTGTTCATTTCTAGTAATTTATTTCAGTCACTGTAGAAGGACGGACCACTATTAGGTTATATTTTAGTGGGGCAGCTTGGCTGGGGGGAGGCAGTGAGAAGTGGCGTAACATTCGTTTTGCCATTCTAAGCCTGAATCCTTGAGCTCTGCAGCTCTTGTCCCACTTGGGATTAAAGTCTCAAGACCTGTATGTTTGGACCTCTTTCTAGTTAGGGCTTATTCTCATATTTTTCATATTTACAGCAAAGCAGGAAGAGGGGACCATGTCCATCATCTCTGATTATCAGCTTGGAGCTCTTATGCATTACATAAATAAGGCTTATTCTTCACAATCCAGTTCCTATTACTTCTCTCCGGACTATGAGTACTTCTCAAGCACTTGCCAGCTTTTCCATCCTGTAGGTCTCAAGTTTCACTGTCTATTACATATTTTTCCATGATTTTTTTTTTTTTTAAAGCAGTTTCTCAGTAACAAGTAAGGAATTTCATCTTTAGTAGCTTTTCCTAGGGTATTTCAGATAAAGTGGACAGAACTTACTGAAGCAATTCCATCCACTGTTAGCTACCCCTAAATTTAGTTCAAATTTGCAGGTAACTCTTGCCACTGCGGTCCATTACATCCTGTAGATTCTCTTCTAAAACATCGCTCAATTACAGGTATCAAACTCAACAAATCTAATATGTTATAATACTCCATATGGCTATCAGAGTGACTTTAATTTGCAATTTAAGCGTCTATTCATTCATGAGCATTTATCACCAGTGAGATTCGAACCAGAATATTACCTTGAAAATTCCATTCCATATTTCAAGTCAAAAGACAAAGTAATGATTAGTTACTGAGCATGATTAGAACAGTGAGCTAGTTTTGTTCAAATCAAATCAATGATGCTTATCTAATCATACAGTGTTCTACTTCAAGATAATGACGTGTCACTGAAACGAAACTGTATCTTATCTACTATTCTGTAATTATCCCAGTTATTTACCTCAACTATGAAGAAAGTAAATCTGAATTTGTTGTCATAAGTAACACTTCAGTTACTAATGACTGACAATTTCTGAACATGAGGTAGCTTGTGCCCAGGCAGCCAAGAAGGCCAAGAGCAGCCTGGCCTGTATCAGAAAGGGCATAGCCAGCAGGGCCAGGGCAGTACATCTGCCTGTGCTCAGCGCTGGTAAGGCCACACTTCAAATCCTGTGTTCAGTTCTGCATCCCTCACTACATGAAAGACATTGAGGTGCTGGACTGGGCCCACAGAAGGGCAGCAAAGCTGGTAAAACGTCTGGAGAACAAGTCTGATGAGGAATGACTGAGGGAACTGGAGCTGCTTAGTCTAGAGAAGGTTCAGGAGGGACCTTATCACTCTCTACAACTACCTGAAAGGAGACTGTAATGAGGTGGGGGTCAGTATCTTCTCCCAGGTAACAAGCAATAGGACAAGAAGTAACGGCCTCAAGCTGTGGCAGTGGAGGTTTAGTTAATTTTAGTAAAAATTTCTTCACAGAGAGGGTGATCAGGCATCGGAACAGGTTTCCCAGGGAAGCGGTGGAATCAACATCCCTGGAAGTGTTCAAAAATCATGTAGATGAGGCCCTCGGGGACATGGTTTAGTAGTGATCATGGCAGTCCTGGGGTAATGGCTGGACTTGATCCTAAAGGTCTTTTCCAATCTAGTTGATTCTATGATTCCAATATTCATGGATAGAATATTTAATGACTTGTGTTATTGTAGTTGTTATTCCAGCATGGGCAAATACCAAGTTTTGTGCTATTCAGAACAAAAAAAATTTCTTGAAGTCATCTGAATGCATATGTGCCCACCAGGTCTTCAAACAGAACCTGCTAATGGTTTAGAACAATTTATCTAGCTTATGTGCTCTAGGACAACTGACATCAAGTTCTGTAAATTTAACTACATCAGAACAATCCTCAACTTGTTCCTCTATTAAAAACTATTTGTCCTTTTTTGTTTTAATAATCTCTCATGTGTTTCTTAAAAGGACATAATAAGTGAGGTATCCCTGCCCACAGCACAGGGGGTGGAAGTAGATAATCCTAAGGTCCTTCCCAAACCTAACTAGTCTATGATTCTATAATAAAATGTCAATACAAGATATAATACGGTGTTTTTAGTAAGCTTGTCTCCTTCCAAAACTGAAGCAAAAACCCCAAAGGCACATGAAATCTAAGGAAGTTTTCACATGTATGTTTTTAAAGACATAAACATACAAAAAATTTTTAACAGCATTAAGCACCTCACACTTAAAACTTGAGTTAAAACTTGTTCATCTAAATTAAACGTCAGTTAAGTGTCATCATTTTTGCACCAAATAACAGAATGATATTCCAGATTCCCCCTCTTAACACTGATCTACATTAATTACCTAAAACCTAATGGATGTTAGGTTATGTTTTTTGGACAGCTAACATATTTTTTTCTCAAATTCACTGTAAATACCTAAAATTCACTCAGCTAAGCCCTAAATTAATTTTTAAGATTGGAAACAATGCTAAGTCCACGTTCAAATTTTTAAATTATTTTAGGATAAAAGCTTAAGAGTATACTCCTGAGTATACTCTTATATAAAAGAGTATACTCCTATTGCTCAATATTATTTATTGTTGCAGCTTTCAGATGAAAGGTCACATGAATTCATCAAATCTGAGCAAGTATTAGCGTTCTATGCAGTTAAAATGCCAAAGTAAAGCAATTTACAAGAATGACAAAGATGTTAGACTCTTCTAGCAACATAGATAATTAACTTTCACAAAAGACTTTGCATTTCTATAAACTTACACTTATGATAGAGAAAAGCCACGGTTTTCCTCGTTTTGTAACTGCTAAAAATTTAGGCATTGATTCTACGATTGACGCACAAACCCCAACTACACACCACTTATTGATTACAGAGCTCTGAAGTTTATCAGGTGTGACTGATTTAATCAGGATAGAAAGTTTATTTAATCTCCAGAAACAAAACTGAGAAAGAAAAAGTGAATTTGAATAGGAAAGCATCTTTTAATATTCTGATAAAGCCTAATTAATGTCAGCTCTTGCATCTGTGACAGTTCTTTACTTGATTTATGACTTGAAGAAAGATAAAGTAGCCATGTTTATGCCTGTGCTGTTCAGCGGAACAACTGGGCAGCCCTGAGCACACCCTACAAGGGAGCATGAAGCCTGCATGTTACACTTCTATAAAAACAAGTGTTCTTAGTCTGTAGAAATAAAGCTTATCAAATCTTACTTCTTGTCATTAAAGACACTGATCTAAAAATCACAAAAAAAGGCAAGAAAAATGTTTGATCTTTAAAAACATATACAGACATAATTTTATACAGATATTTTGTTATTCCTAACTAGATATGAGTGAAAAGAAATATTCAGCTTTTGAAAATATACTGTATTCACCAGTTTTCAAATCACAGTATTTAATAAAAATCAATTATTTCATTATACAGTGTCACAGTAGTAAGTTTAAAACAACATTTTAACGTTCTCCCACAGAACTTGCATTATTAGGGAAAATACAACTCATCTTTCACTATTTATTATTCCATTTTAAGGGAGCTCATTTGAGCTGTCAAATTTGAGTTGAACTTTATTTGAGGTGGTACTTGACTACACAGCAGATGCACAAAATTAAAAACATTATACTTGGGAAAATGGCCATCACAGATAAATTACAACTACTATTAAAATCATTAGAAACACAAACTGACACGTACAGAAGTTCCTAACAAAAAAGGACATAAAGTATAAATATTGGGTAAATTGTTTGCTGAGTACAGATCCTTTTTCTTCTCTTCCAAAATCTGTTATCTTAAACAAGTTGTCCAGCAAGAAAATAAAAGCATAATATGCTAGAACATTGATCATAATTTAATCACTGGAATTTAAAAGTTAAACACTAAAATTAAATGGCACACCCAAGTTTAAAGGGAGAGAATATCTTCTCCTTTCCCATTTGTTTTCATGATTATTTAATCAAAACCAGACTGGGTCTGACATTAAGAAATACATAATGTAAACATCATTCTCTAGTACATTGCCACATGATGAAAAAAATACCACATACAGCAGGGTCATATATTTATGGGTATACATTTATGCTTGTATAACATACACCTGTATGAACTTCTCTTTTTTAAGAAAAAGTCTGTGTTATAACAATGCACTCCAGGCATTAAAGTACAGGTGTAGTGAACCCAAAATTGCAGCTCACTTATTACCCACAGGTACAGGCAAGGTCACTGTTCAACATTTCCACTGGAAGATTCTCTGATACCAAGTTTGCTTAGTGTAATTATTAATTTTATATAATTAATTGATGCATTGCTGCAGAACTTTCTGTTGAAAACAACTAACTAAAAAATGCAATTATAATTAGAAATATTTAGCCCTACGTAAAGCTTAACAGAGCCCAAAATATCAGGATGTAAAAATGATTACTCCAATGCAAGTTAAAAGAATTTTCCAGTGAAGTTCCTGAGATTAAATATCCCATTATACTTTTAAATTGAATTAACTTAGCCTAAATCAACTTGAAAAGGCTGAAATATAAAAAAAACTATCAAAATTATTGTTATAAACTGAGATCAGTATCATATAAATAAGCCATGATTGAAAAAGACACTTAAATTACAACTCTTGTTCATGCTCTCAAATATCTTATTCTACCTTCATCATAGCACAAGATAGAAATTGCTAACTCCACTATTTTTCCACTAGACATTTTATGCCCTTAACTGCAATTAAGTAGCAATTTTAACATGTGAAATAGAAATTACTTGAACAAGGGACCATATGATGTTATTAATATAAATGCTATGGTGTTCTTGTAAATTTTTAACAGAAAGGCTTTGATTTCTTAAACAGATTTTGAATAGCAGCAGAAAGCTTACAGAATAGCAAGCATTAGGGGAAAAGACAGCTCATATTACTTCTGTTATATTTTGTGAGCACACTTTCCTTATCTGTTGGTGACTTCTCTGTGTTTGTAGTGCACATAAGAACAAATGGGTGTTCTTTTGGATTCTATGCACTCATTTGTTTTACTGAAAAATAAAGTCAAGTACTGGAGCATTTTCTTCTTTTGGTGTAATTCTGAAATATTCTTCTCTTGGGAATGGCAGTTCATTTTTTTGCAATTTAGCTACGTAAGTGTATCCATGCATGTATGCCGTAAGATATTTTTTCATTTTCTAGCTCTATGTAGTGACTTACCATTAGTGTAAGTACTGCAATTCATATTGGTTGTGTAGGATTTTTCATAAGCATGCTGAGGCAGCCTATTCACATCATCAGAATCTAGAGCTTCTGCAGTGTCATCTTTTTCACCAGGTGACATATAATTTAATGGCACACTTCCAGAATTCTCAGCTGGTTTTAAGTTTTCCTTTACTGAAAGATCATTTGCGGAAATAGACCTTTTCCCACTTTCCTTGGAAGTACTACGTGGCTTACAGAAACTCAAACCAAGCGAGTCCATGCTTGCAAAAGAGTCTTTGCAAGAAATTTCAGGAGGATTCTGCGACTCCTTTGGTACTTGTATCTGTACTTCATTTTTGTTCAAGTTAAATGATGAAAAGAAGTCTTCATAAGAATCCTCTTCATAAGAAGCCTCTTCAGAGCCAAAAGACTTGCTACCTGTACTACCTGCTTGCCAGAAGTCTTTAGACCCTGATGCACCCAGTTCTGAGGTAGCCAGTTTCAAACTAGGCAGTATTTCTAATTTTTTCCTCTTCTTGTCTTTAAGGATACAATTGTTTCTGTAAACAGGGAAGCGTCTATCCAGTGAACACTTACTTAAGCTTATGCTGCTCATAGGTGCATTAGAGAGACTGTCAATCATAGCAGCAACATTACTTAACTTGGCCATTTTTTTGGAAGGAGAAAGATGACCCAAGCCCTTTATTTTGAGAAGAGAACTTTCATTTGCAACTGAAGTAGTCTTGCTATTTTCATCCTGATTTTTATTCAGGAACTTTTCTGTATCTTTCTTTTCTAAAGGCAGTTTATCATCCAAAGTATGCTGAAAAAGCTGCTTTTTTCTTAAGCTGCTTTTGCTACGTTGTTTTGGTGTTAAGCAAGTCTGCTCATAGCTTTGTGAGGGAGAATTCACTGACACAATCATGGCTATAGGATTATCAGTCCAACTATCACAGGCAGGTTTTACTACCTCTGTTTTCTGTCTCTTTAATTTATCAGCTCCCCAAAGACAATCAAAGCTTGAGTTCAAGCAGTCTTCCATTTGTTCTCCTGCAAAATATGAAAAGTGGCAACATAAATTTATTTAACAAAACAGAAAGTGTACCAATTTCTTAGTAAAATACACATGAAATTACTGAAAAAAGAAAAACAAGGACTTGGCAAGTTCTCTGGATATTATGTTGTAAGTCATCAAAAACTAAACAGAAAGTGGATTAAAACTAAATTATGTTCTATGTTAACAAGAAGCTACAATAGCTTTAGCTATCATACCTTCTTACACGGCAACAGGTAAACAAGCCCTGTTCTACTGTCTGGAAACAAAGCAGCAGAGGAACTCTTTCACTCTTGCATTTGTGGAAAAAAAGAAAAACAAACAGCAAGACCGTAAAAACCTAGCTAGATTAATATTGGAAAGTGAAAAATCTTTTTTACTACGAGAGCAGTACTTACCACTAATTATTTTTGCAGGATGAAGTTCAAATACAACATCATACTATCATACCACGTACATCAACACAATGTATTAAGAATAATTACAATGTGGAAAAAATGTATCATTTCTTATAGCCATTCTTAAGAAGATTTTGGGGGGAGGTGAAACACAGAATCTATTAAGAGAATCATAGAACAGTTAGGGTTGGAAAGGACCTTGAGATCATCTAGTTCCAATATCCCTGTCATGGGCAGGGACACCTCACAATAAACCATGTCATCAAAGGCTTTGTCCAACCTGGCCTTGAACACTGCCAGGGATGGAGCATTCACAACCTCCCTGGGCAACACATTCCAGTGCCTTACCACCCTCACAGTAAAGAACTTCCTCTTTATATCCAATCCAAACTTCCCCTGTTTAAGTTTTAACCCATAACCCCTTCATGTGCCTTAGCATGCCTTCCAGGAGAATCTGCTCCAAGATTTTGCCAGGCACAGAGGTGAGACTGACTGGTCTGTAGTTCCCCGGGTCATCCATTTTCCTCTTCTTGAAAATGGGGGTTATATTTCCTTTTTTCCAGTTGTCAGGAACTTCACCTGACAGCCATGATTTTTCAAATATGATGGCCAGCAGCTTAGCAACTTCATTTGCCAGCTCCTTCAGGACCCGTGGATGGATTTCATCGGGTCCCATGGACTTGTGCATGTTCAGGTTCTTAAGATGGTCTCAAACCAGATCCTCTCCTACAGTGGGCGCAAGGTCTTCATTCTTACAGTCGCTGCATCTGCCTTCCAAGACTTGGGTGGTTTGGTCAGAGCATTTGCCAGTGAAGACTTGAGGCAAAGAAGTCATTCCGGCAGTCTGTAGCAGATCCCCACAGTAATGTCCCCCATAGCTGTTATCCCTTTAACCCTGACCCACAAACTCTCTGTTGACTGATCACCTATCCCCAGACAGAATTCCATATTCTCCAGCCTATCCCTAACATAAAGGGCAATTCCCCCTCCCCGCCTGCCAGGCCTGTCTTTTCTAAAGAGCTTTTAACCTTCCATTCCAACACTCCAGTCATAGGAGCCATCCCACATGTTTCCATGATACCTATTATATCATATCCCCATAGATGTGCACACATCTCTAATTCCTCTTGTTTGTTCCCTATACTATGGGTGTTTGTATAGAGGCATTGAGCCGAGCTCCAAATGAAGCCAGCTCATTGGCTGGAGCTGCTGAAATAGCTCTACATTGCTTCTAGCATTTATTATAGGTGCTGGCAACTGACTGGGTGTGTTGGGATGGAATGATGCCCCCCTCCCCCAACACATCTAGTTTAAAGCCTCCTTGGCCAGCCTGGCAAGCCTCCTACCAAAAAGACCAGCTCCACCAGCCTCCAGTAGACCTGGCCTCCCAAATCGAGTCCCATTTCTAAAAAAACCCAAGCCCCTGACTACAGCACCACTCTTCTAACCATTTATTAACCTGGCAAATTTGCCCAGCCTTTTTAAGGTCCCCCCCTTTATCCTGGAGAATGGATGAAAAGACAATCTGAGCTCCAGAGCCCCTAACCCCCTCTCCCAGGGCTCTGCAGTCCTTCTTAATGTTCTCCAGACTACTGCTATCTATATCCCTAGCACCCACATGGATCACTAGAAGTGGGTAATAGTCCATGGGACTTACTAGAGCAGGCAGCCTCTGCAACATCCCTGATCCGAGCCCCTGGTAGGTAACACACCTCCCCTTGAGACTGGGTCAGGCAACAGATGGGTGCCTCTGTTCCTTTCAAAGCAGTCCCCTACTACTATGACCCGCCGCTTTTTTTTTTTTTTGTTACTAGTTCCCAGCTTCCTGAGTTAATGGCCTCCTTCTTTCCCCCATGAGCTACAATGGACCCTGAGGCCTCTGCACAGTTTGGCCCTGGAGCAAGCAGGTCCTGCATCCTCTCAGCTTCCCTGATGCCTTTCATCCTATTGACAGTGTCCCGCAGCTCAGCCCCTGCTGCAGTAGGACTTCCACCAGGGAGCACTGAGTGCAGCCCTGCCCGTTGTGCACCCTCGCCTCAGGAGACCAGTGCAGGCACTCTCTACACTCAGAGCCCTGCGCTGCAGCTTCCCCTCTCATCAGTTCTGTATGGGTGCCTACACTGGCCACTGCCAGGGCAGCCAGAGCAGAGCTCCCAGAACAGGCCCTGCTCATATGGCGAGTGATCACCATCCCGCTCACCTGCCTGCGTTAGCTGCCACACAAACTGACTCGCCTTGCTCCTGGTCCCTCTCACCCCTGGGGATTTGAACCACTCAGGGCTGGTGCCATCCCTCCTGAGCACCACCCCCGAGAGTCAGCTGCTCGCATCAGCTGAGCTGCCAGCTCCTGGGCAAGTCCTGTTGAGGACTTGAGGCTCCCTCGGTGGCTCTTGCCACTTTGAACTGAGGCTCCTGAATGCTGGGCTTCCTCTGGCTCAGGTGTTGAAGGCGTCCTCTCTCCAGCTGCTAACCTCACCAATTAATAACTCTTATCTATAAATATATATATATAATTCTTCAATAAATTCCTCTGAAACAGGCTACTATCTCTAATTATCCAGAATACATTTTCAAAAGCCCTGCTGATAATTGCAATAGATGGTTTTGTTTAAATACACATTGAGTGCAAAGTTTCAGCAATACTTCTGTAAGTGCTCCTGTAGGTTTTAGGGAAAGTCTTGACGTTATTTGCTTACTAAATGTAAATAATATTTTTAAACATAGGTTGTAGCTAGCTAAATTAAGAAAAATAAAATATACAGAGATGAAAGAAGTTCCTCATGACATGATCAGACTCCCATATTGACAACTGAAAAAGTGTTAGCTTTGATCCTCAAACTGGATTCTTGAACTTTTTTAACCACTATTAACCAACATACTCTCAAGTATTTTGCAAGCACAAACAGAAGGGCCACTATCACACAGTACCAGAGTTTGAAGCTACACCAAATATTGTCATGGGATGTGGAGGTCTGTTCTTATGTAAAATTACATTGTGCAGTTGCAATGCTGGAGGGACACATTCATGGTAAAGCTCTCAAAAAAAAAAATCACTGTTCAATGTCATCAGCACACAACTAATTTAGCAAAATAAAGTTTGTTGGCACAACTATGCTACTTCCAGTATTAAGCTATTACTTATCCCTAACACTGCATGAACACATAACAAGATGTCTCAGGCTATAAGATAATGCCCCATGCTCTCCTTACTCTTCTACTGATACAAAACACCAGCATCTGACTTCAGCTTTTTGCTCATGTAACCAACAGAAGACATGAGGTCTGATGTACTTATCTCCTGTATACAAGATTAATGTTGTTAAGATGCCCACTGAAGTAGCTCAACAGCCTTCACAATAATCTTTGCCCTTATATTCTGGTAATATGCCAAAACAGAAGAACAAATCCCTAACTTCAAGAGAATAAGAACTTTGATAACAAATTACTTGAATTCACTTGTAACCATAAAACATTTTAAAGGCCGATTTATTTTGCTTTTGTTAACTTTTTTAATCTCTGACATACTAAGCTGGAAAACATGTTACGTTTTCTTTTAAATTCAAGTTTTTCGATTGAGTATTTCGAAGAGAAGTCAGTTCTTTGAGGTTTCTCCCTCATTCTGTTCTCTCTTTTGCTTCCCATTATCACTGTTTAGTGCCCACTCTGTATTCTATACAAGATCACTCTAAGAGCAGAGAAGGCTGACACCATGCCAGGTCAAGAAGCCATTAACAGGAAAGGGTGTGAAGAAAGAGGAGGAAGTGACACAAGCATCACAGTCATAGGCAGAGCATTACCCAACGTGTTTCTTCATGCTCCATTTTCCTTGAATTCTTACTTCTACACACTTTGCCAGTTAAAAAAAACTAAATCAATTCAGCTTTAAATATAAATGATAGAGCAAACATACAGTTCCCATTTCAGTATACCATACTTTACAAAATAAACAGGCCATGTATTATTTTTAATTTCTGTAATATATAAAGTTGTATTAGTTACCTGGTAACAATGCATCTTCTGAATTAGTTAAGACACAAGTAGGCAGCAGACAGTCTCCTGGTGAACTACTTGGAAGTATCTGAGGCATTTGTGAAGCTAGGAATTTGTAAATAATAAATGAGTTAGACCTACTTGCAAAGATATAGGTTTTGGCACCATCGATTCACATTTCAAATCAGCTCAATTGTAAGACATAACTCATTGCTTTGCCAACTATAACCATGTAAGTAATTACACTCCTCAAGAGTATCCCAAATTTACACACTCAGAAAAAAAAGCTACTACATCTTCTACAACTTTAAGCAATTTCTTTTTCTAGATAACCACATTTCTATGATACTAAAGAATGACAACAAACCTTTTAGAAAATATAAAACCTTTCTAAGGTAATTGAGGCATTTTACTACATAATCTGTCAAATTCTGCAATTAGCGGCAAAGCACTGACATAGCAGAAATGCATTTAAAAATGCTTGAAGGCATTACCTTAAAACTAAAAAACAAATAAAAGTCATGCCAAAATAAATTAATTTCATTTTTCATCCATGTATCACTGATTCTTTACTTTCCCCCTGCAACTATTTCTGAAATTATAAACTGACAGTCTAGTTGACGTAGACTTCTTAAAACTTCAAATACTACCGATTCCCACCCGCTCAAAAGATGTTCCACATTTCAATACTTTTTATATTAACTGGCAAAACCTAATGGCTTAGGCCTCAATGCTTTCACAGTAATGTAATGGAAACACTAAAAAATTATTTGAAAACTGCAATCTACATTTAATTCACCAGGATATGCATTTTGAAATAAATTAGATTTATCTGATTAGGTCATTCAATTTATTTTTTTTAAATCCTGTTCTTCAGTACCTGGACAGATGTCTCGTCAATTTTCAACTCCTTAATGAACTGTTGGCCTGGGACTAGTAACATTATAATCTTTGACAAGTACAGCACTCACATTAAAATTTAAAGGGAAATAAGAGTTTCACTGTAAAGTTTAACCAAGTTGTGGTAATATCAATTTACAAGCTTAGAAAGTCTAGCTTAACTTTAGTCCTCTTGAGCAGTCTAACCATTAAGAAATTCCTTTTTGCAATCATTACCTTTCACGATTTCTTGTGCCCTTCGATGGAAAGGAGCTAAAAGCTAAAGCATTCATAACTACTTGAAACCTGGGAAGCAGGGAAGACATTGCAATCAAGATATAAAAGTTCGAAGGCCAGAGCAACACAAAAGCACCAGAAATTCAGCAATAAAGATGGCAGCCATTTGTGCATGGATAGGTAAAATTTAAGTCCTTACCAGTAGGGGAAATATTTTCTCTTTTTTCCTTCATCTCCTTTATTCTTCTTTCCATTGTACTGTATTGATCTTTCACCTTATTAACAGGGCTGTATACAAGTGAACCATTGTCTTCAAATAGTAGAACTGGTACATCAATTTCTATACAAAGAAATTGCATTTGTACATTAGTATTTATATGCTATAACAATCTCAATTTTTTTTTCCCCCAAACTTGAAAAAAATAGGTTACTTTGGTTCTCTTAACATCACTTCAGATGCCTTAATACTGCAAATTGCAAGAACTCTGTAAAAACTAAGTCAACTTTGCAAGTAAAAACATACTTATAAAAACATAGAAGTAAAACCAAACAAACCCAAACCAAACACACAAAACAAAACCCCATCAAGTACTTTAAGGAAATAACTGAAGATGTTTGTCTAAGGTAGCTCTTACCAGCATTAACTGCTATCTTCTGCATGGCTAATTCTTTAGCCATCTGGTCCAATCTTTTCTGCAACTTTCTATCATTTTCTGGAGTTTTTTCAACAAAGTCTTTCGGCTGCATACATTTGTGCTACAAGACACACAAAGCTATCAATTATATGGTATAAAACTGCCAGAAGTAACTACACTTCTTATTCGCTTACCACTTTGCCACAGTATTTATCATCAGAGTCTAACTATGCTTCCTAGCGCTTCCTTGAGAGTCACAGGTAATAGCAGAAGTTAAAGTTCACTTTGGAAAATGTTAATACAAAAGAAGAAAGAACCTAACAGATTTTTTTCCTGTTAGATTTTATTAAAAAGCAGACTAAATAACCATCTTTTCCTTTTTTCTTGAAGCAAAGCTAAGGCTTGATTTTTTTTTTATAAATATCAGTATTTTAGCATTTGTGCATGCAACTCAGTGAAACATAAACCACAACAGTCATGGTTTTTTAATTAGCCATTATGTCATTTTAGTTTAAACATTAAGTTCTTTATTCATCAATACAAAAATTTTTATTATACTTTCTTCAGATATCACATCATCACAGCCATAGCCTACCTTTAGAAACCTACTCAGACAGATACATAGAGCTTACAGAATGTCCTAGTAATGAGGAATTCAAATGCCTGAGGTCAGGAAGTCAAATTCAGACTTTAAGGTTTACTACACTAGGCCTATGAAAAAAAAAACAACAAACCCACCCATACCCACATACTCACTTTTTTGACTGGTTGTGGCAATTCTTCATTAGCAGCTACCACAGGAAATAAGGCTTCATCAACATGTACTCTAGTTTCTCGACACCTGCATAATAAATTAGAGCAGCTGTGTTTGTTTGTTTTTAAGAATGAGAAACTTTATTGCAATAAAGTCATCTGAGCTCAGTAATAATAAAACACCAACCTTTCCTCAGTGTGTATCTTCAGCACAAATACTTCAATGGGAAAAAAAAAATCTCTATATATGACACACCAAATATAGGACATATTTTTTTTTTTGTCCTAATGATGCTCTCTAAATTGTTGTTCTGAAACTCAAAGATTCACACTCATTTTATTTTCCACACATTCAAAAATCATTATATTAAGTCCTTTTGGCCAGATTCTCATGAATCTCAAATTTACCCAACTTGGGAGGACTGTAGGTTTTAACTGTTCACTACCCAGCAACCATAACCTTAACTTGCCTCAAGTTGGTCACTGTGATGACAGTAAACTCCCAACTATAATCTACAGAATGTCATGGGGTGGACGAGTCATCATCTGATCACGCCTTTATATCTTAGCCATAAGTCTCAGTTTTCTGCCTCCTCTGTGTATATGCAATGCTAAAACCAACCCCTTATTGAAGGGTCATCTGTATTTATGCAAACTTTTTTAATTACAATAATGCCACCTGACACCTTACCCCCTTTTTCCTGTCTTTTCATTTCAAAGACAGACTTGAGAATAGTGGGATTAATGTTACCTAATGAGAACACTAAGAATGATGTTGAGACAAGAATTTGTTTAATACCTAAAAGTTCTTTTGATCAAAATAGATCAATACAGTTTTATTATCAAACAATAAATAAACTAATTATGAGAAAGAGCATAGAACATCAATGGACTACACTAGTTTCCCCAGAAGCCATTCAAAACTGTGATTCTAGTGACACCTAGTGATCTAATTGCTATAAAGTTTGTGACTGCAGAATTATAATCCAATGCTTAGTTACTCAGTTTTGAATAAGAAGCCAAACCATTACATGTTTTTGTCAAACTAACAGAGTTAGAGTTTAGAATTCTCTGGAGCATCAAATAGAGATGATACTCAACATGCTGACCTTCAGTAGCTGTTATTAAATTCTGGATAATAATCAGCATAGATTTAAACTGCACTAAAATTTACATTATTTCAGAGATTTTTTGATTCAGAGAAGCTAAACATAATATATTTGACCACTAAATATGTTATGAGCATTTTTTACTTTGCAGAAAAATCTGAATGTAAATGATTTATCTATCATGTTTGTGACATGAGTTACTGTACTAAGAATATACCAGTAAAGTTTCCCAGTTATGGGTTAGATTAGGTATTCTTAATTTGTACATAGATTATAGTAATTCTATTTTATGTAGGGTTCTTTTTGTTGGGTTTTGTTTTTTGGGTTTTTTTTTAGGTTGCTCATTGAAGTATTTGAATTAAAGTACTATTTTTTTTTCAGTGATCCAAAAGCTGTCACTCATTTTGAATTAAACTTATTATTTATTTGCATGACTCTTAAAACAAGTCCACTATTATGTGCACTATCTTTAAAGTCAGACATATCTATAATTCTTAGAAAACACAAAAGGGAAACAACACATTTTAAAAAAATTAACGTATTTACTCTAGAGTTGTTACATTTTTATGAAATGCAATTGTCATCTTAAAAGAGTCTTCTTCCTAATCAGATTACTTCCTAGTAAACTGTAGAACTCCATTCAGTTTGGATTCAAATATATGCTTATACTGTGAAGCAGAAGTTTCCAGTAACAGTTCAACAAGGCAATGTTCACCAAATACTGTACAAACCATTATAATGTGTTCTGGCTTTTATGGAGAAAAGCGAGTACTATAATATTTTCAGATCATGGGCATGTTCCTCTGAGAGGCTCAAGCACTGCTCAGGGGAAGATAAAACTAGTGGGCATGCATAACAGTTTGGAAGTAGCTGTTAATTGGGAGTATTTTGCACAAACCAGAACCACCAGGAAATGCTGGAGTAATTGCTTATGATTTGCTTCCTTGTCTGGTGTTTTTAGAGCTCAAACATAAAAAACTAGCATTAAGATTAAATACCATATACTGCAGCATTCTGTTTCCAAGACCAAGATTCCCAGAAGTATGTAAAAACATGAAAACACAGCCAAGCATTCCCAGTTTACTTTGCTATGTTCCACAGATTTCTGGTTTAGAGATCATCAGATTCAATACTGTACATGTTTTTTGACAAAACCAAATGTTTAATTGCTTCAGCATTTTTTTTTAACCAGTATAAATCCTTGCTGAATATGTCTCTGCAACAAGGAGTTCTCCAGCCTAAACTATGTTTTACTAAAAATAATCATTTACTATTTTCTGTACAGGTATAAGTTACTCCTGGGGAGATTCCAGTTAGATCCTAGAGGAAAATTTGTCACAACAGCCATTGGAATAATCTCCCCAGGGAAGTGGTGGATTCCCAGCATTGGACAGTTTTAAGATTCACCTGGACAGGGTGCTGGCCACCTTGTATAGGCTGTGCTTTTGCCAGGAAAGGTTGGACCATGATTGTTGAGGTCCCTTCCAACCTGGTACTCTATGATTCTCTGAATCTGTCTCCAGATGTATTCATGTGATGATTTCCAACTCTTCTACTGGAAAATAATGTTAATTTCCCACTCAGCCTCCTCATATGAACCTTGGTGTTCGCAAGAGTCCCTTTCCCTCCCACGTTTTTTTCCAGGCTGAAGCATTCTTGTGTTCCATTGTGTCTTACGAAACAACATTCCAAGTGTGTAACCATGATAAAACCCATGTCATTCCACTACATGAAGTTTTATATTCTATTTGATTTTTGACTACTGCTGAGGTGACAATCATACGAAAACATTTCCTGTGAGTCTCAAAATCTTAAATTTCCCCTCATACAATACAATCATCTTTCCAATATACTTAAGAGGATTTAAGATTTAAATAGTCTCCTTGATATCAGTAAGAATTTTAATCCCTTCACTGTCTTAGTTTTGGTGTTACAGTATGAACACTGATAGCATAGCTGTGTCTATACTTACAAGAAGGTTCTGCGAAATAATTTGAACAACCATCCACATGCCAATTAAGATCAAGCAATAACTAAAATGCTTTGCACTGTGCTCCAACAGGAGTCATCCAATCCCCAGTCTACACTAAAAAGTCATCCCTTAGTATTACATTCCCTAAAATTAAATTTCACAGCATTTCTGACCATTCTGAGAACATTCCACTTGCTATTGAATAGAACAGCTGGTTAATCAAGCCTTTTTTTAGTAATGCTAAAACTTCAACTCATGCAAATTCTGCATTACTTGCTTACAGTTAACAGGTTCAAACTGAGCTTCCATTCATACAGAACCACATTTTACTGGCACGTACTATATTCAGTCCTCCCTGTTTACGTTGTCCCAGGGTTTAGACTGTCTTCTGCCTGCCAAACCTCTGAGATGATATGGTAGGCATACATAATTTCAAGTCACACACTCCAGTTCTCTCATCTTACTAAAAAAAAAATTTGCATGTATGCTAACAGACTGATTTTAATTTTGTGTCGTCTATACCTCATTTGTGTAATTCCATGACTAGTGAGACTATGCATTACTTTCTCTTACGTAAGCTTTTATCACTCCTGACCCATACTTCGCTTAAGAATATGATACTCCTATGAATTCTGCCAAGAGTATACATCAGTCTAAGTTTTATATTCTTGTGTACCTTTTTTGCACTAACTTTAAAGGTAGGAAAGAAAGATTACAGAGAATTTCAATCAATCCACAGCTTAGGTCTTCCTCCATAATAATACACCTGTATTCCAGATGAATCCCCCATTCCAACAAACTTGTCTTGTAAGCCATATACTAAGACCTCGCTTTGTCCCATGTCAACTTCAGAAAAAAAAAAAAATATGCTAGCTTTCTCTTTCCTACAAAAGAGCTTAAGTCTTTTTCTTTGTTGCTTATATACAGCAATAAAGTTTCTTGAGGCCTTTACACCTCAAGGCTCCATATTGCCCCCTACAGTATCACATATCTAGCTGTCCGTCTGAGCTTTCTACAGTGCTCATCCACTCAATACCTGCCAGTATTGCACAGGTTCCTCTTGTAGTTAAACCGCTGTAACAGAGAAAACATTCCTTTATGTCACATCCTAGACTTGCCCCTGGAAGGCGCTCTCATTCTTTTGTTGCAGATACTACTCACCTGGACTTTTCTGGGATCCTTTTAGCACATCCAAGTCCTCAAACAGTTTATAATTCTTATGACTAAGGTTTCAAATTCCATATTTATACATTTAGCCATGTGAAGAGCATATTTAATTTTACAACCAAAAGATTCCTACTGAAATGACCATTTTCCACACACTCAGTGGCACCAGGTCCAAGAAAGGTATATTCACACAGACAGAATTTTGCACCACCCTCATATTTGGGAGCTTAAATATTTCTTCCTTGGTGTTAAAACTGGATGCTTCTGCAGAACTGCATGAACTTCTTTTTCTGATGTGTATCCAAAATTTTATGGTTGCACTACATTTAAGTAGCTGCAGAGCTCAGCTTTGCATCCCCCTGTTTTTTATTTTTACTTTTGCACTTAGCATACTTCTATCTCTCCATGCGTATTACAACTGGTATAGGAGAGAGCCTCTTTGCTTACATTCTAATTTCTATCATCACAGCAATTTACCAATTGGAGTGCCTAACACCCGCATGTTCTTAAACATGTTTTTATACTTCATCTGAAATCTAAATTTGGCCTCAAAACCATTTCGTAAACTCAGAGAAGCGGCTATGGACTAGCAAATTCTCATGGAATGGCTGCACAGCTAAATTTTCTTGTTTTTTAGTTTAACTTTTTCCTGTATGGTAGTTGAGAATCTTCAAGCAGTGCTGTTCTGAATCGTCCAAACGTCTTAAAAGCCAGACTACATGTGGATCTTTTTATTTCTTGCTAGAAGATACTCTGTCTACAGAAGCTAAGTACAGAAACAGTACAATGTCCCTGATGAACTGTGCTTTTTCAAACAAAAAAGAAAATTCTATTCAACATAAGCATCTAGTCTTCACTGCCTATGCATGTCAGCTGAGAACAAAGGGGTGGAACACTGAATGGTTCTACTATGGAACTACCTCGTTGCATTCATTTTTTAAGAATTAACATTTTATCTTTTTATACAAGTAATATGCTCTATAATAGCAAAAATGTCATAGGAAACTTATTTACTCATAGATTTATCACTATTTCAAATAAATTAAAAAAAACCAAAACAAAATCTGTACTTCATTTTTTAAGCAATACTAGAATCCATTATTGCTGTAATATGTCCCATATATTCACAAGCACTCACCTCTCCACCCAGAGTACAGAAACTATTTTTACACCCATCTTCTGTGCTTTTCTCCACGTAGCCAAATGTCCATCTTTGAAGACTACATGGGTCACGTGCTTGTTCAAAGTTTTTGAAACCTGCAGAAGTACAAAGAGAGCTCATCTTTAAGTCCAATAATCAGAAAATGCCAATAAAAATGGACTATGCTAGCATATTTCAATGTATAAACCATTAGCATAAAAACTTATTCTAAACATTATGTCAAGGACTCTTGATCTTTCTTATCTCTGCAAGAAGGCTCAAGCAATCAAAACTCAAATCTCATTAGCCAAGCCAATGCAATGCACCCTAGAGAGCTACAGCAGCTTCCTTTTGCTCTCAAGCTTCTTTTTTCTAGGTTACCATTTTCATCCCCCTGCTTGCTCTAGTTGTATCACTATCTTGCAACATTTCTATTCATGTAGCCCATCATCATTTCTTGTGAAACAACTAGTACAGAAAGTAGTGGAAAAACTAATTCAGAATTTTATTTCCTGAAACAGTGAGCCAAGTCAGTTCACTATCTCAGTTCACTATCTCAGCCCAATAAAAGGGAAGCAAGTGTCTGGAATAACAAAGGGGCAGGACTACCCCTTTTCAGTCATGGGGATCTGCTAAATAGGCTCATCTGTATTATCTGCCAGCAACTTCCACTATTTCTGGCTACTTTTTGATCAACTCGAAGAATTTTGAAGCCTTATGCTTTTGCCATTTTCTGTGAGAAAAATCTAATATCAGAAGAGAATAACATAGGTCTAACAGCACAGCACAAAATAACAAGAAATAGTTTTTAAATTATTCATTGATATTTGTACTTGCTTCTATAATAAAAACAGTTATTCTGTTCTGTCACTATCTCAGCTAAATTCACACAGAAAGAGAGGCTTCGGGGAGATCAGCACAATTTCACAAATTACAGTAAGATACACCTACACACACCCAATTGAAAAGCACTGGAAGCTCACGCAAGTGTTATTTAGAGCATGATGTGGGCTGTAAAGATCTCCATTAACTGGTGACAATTTGCAAGAAGGGAAAATACCAGATTGATTTTGGTCTCTGGTTGAAATTCCACAGCTGGCAATTAAACATATTTTGCACCTGCAATTCAACAATACTTAATATGGGAAAAAAAGACATACACTAACAGATATATTTTTACTAGCACTTTCTGGAGTTGAACCACATTTGTGGGAGAGTAACTGAAAGAAGAAAATGTCATGGTACTCGGATTAGAAAACATTTTAGTAACAATAGAGCAGCTGCCTACAAGTTAAGAGCACAAAACAACATAAAGTACATACTTCAAAACAGCAGGCTTTATAGACTTTGATTTGATTTGCCCACAGTATGTGGCAAGCCCAATACTTCACAGCAAATGCATGCCATCATATTACTATACAAAGAAGTTTATAGATACATGCAGGCTTTAAATACATTTCCCATCTGTCACTAGTAAGAATTTTACAGTGCTTTCTTTTATTCTCAGGTCTGCGATTATCCTTCTTCTTGCACTTAAAAAACTCATACCACAAAGAAATATACCCAATAAGCAAAACAAGCAAGCTAATTTCTAATTAAGAGCCTTCCTATTCTGCTTATTACAAAATAGTTTCCTTACTTTTGCTCCCATATCAAGAAGTTGCTGTTCAAAGGTTTCTGAGTAATTTTCTGTTCTGTTAGATGACCAAACTTCTACAAATGCCGAGATACCTGTATCAGACAAAAGAAAACAAACAGCTAATGAAGCATACCCTATGATAATATTGGGTAAACTGCCTTTCCAACAGAATTTTGCTTTCATACATGCTGCATTCAGTAGCAAATGTAGCTTTGTCCTGGGTTCCGCAGTAGCAGTCATGTTTTTTCCTTTGTGTTAACTGGTACAGTGCTGTGTTTTGACTTCCAGTTTGAGAACAGTGTTGGTGAAGCCGATGTTCTCGGTTGTTGCTAAGTGATGTTTACCCTGACCAAGGACTCTGTGAGGCTCATGCTCTGCCAGGGAGGAGGGGAGGCTGTGAGGAAGCAGAGACGGGGCGCCTGACCCGGGCTAGCCGGGGAGGTATTCCATACCACAGCACGTCATGCCCGGGGTGAGGGGTAACTGGGAGTTACCCGGAAGGACAGGGTTTTCCGGGTGGAGCTCGTTTTCTCTTGGCCGGTGGTATCGTATTCTCTTCCCTTGTTATTTTCCCTTATCATTGTTGTAGCTGATAGTAGCGGTGGTGATTTGTTGCTGGACTGTTTTTGTCTCAACCCGTAGGAGTTGCACTCTCTCGATCCTCCTCCCCGTTCCTCCGGGAGCGGGGAAGGGGAGAGCCCCGGTGCGGGGAGGCAGGGGGGAGACGGACACGGACCTCGATTGTTGTCAGCTCGGCACCACTCACTGGGAGTGAGTGAACAAGCTACCTGACTGGGTTTAAACCACGACAGTTCTTTTTGGCGCCCAACGTGGGGCACAAAGGGTTGAGATAAGAACAGATCTGACTGGATTGATAGTCACTCGTCACAATGCTGATTTATTGGCTCTCAAGGTTGTTCCTCTTGATCTCACAGTTTCAGTATATGATATCTTACGTCCATCCGGTACTTGCTGTATTAGTGTTTTTCAAGTATGGGGCTTGGGCTAAGGTTTTTATCCCATTGTACTTTATGGTAATGACTTGTAATACAATAGAATCATTGATCATGAAATTGATCTGGCTTATGTTCCCAGTGTGGTCACCACCTTTATACTTTGGGAGGTATATGATGGAGGTGCTTAGCAATTACACATCTTTTTTCTCCTTCTCAGGTGCTCAACCTGGGAAGGAGACATCCTTTTACCCTCCTAGTCGTCCCCCCAGACCATTTACATTTGAGAGTTTTGAATTTTTTGAATGGCCTTTTAATGCTGTTGAGACTTGTTTGCTGATGGTGATGGGAATCACCATGCTAACACGCATACAGAGTGTGTTTTACCCACTACTGATTTCAAGAGTTAAGCAGATTCAGGTTTGGGTCTTGTCTGGGGTCAAACGACGATGTAGGAGGACCGAGAGATTTTCCCTGAGGCTGGACAGCCATGAGTGGCAGGGTGTGTGGGATAGTATGGGCAAGTATCTAGGTCAGTGGGCCCCTCCAGTACTTTGGAATTTCACTACTGAACAACTGCAAAATCCAGAAGAATTAGTAAAACACTTAAATGAGGTGTGTGGTCATTCTGGCCATACCAGAGATGGACAAATCATGGCAACGTGCTGGGGCTTGGCCTATGCTTACAGGGCCTTGTTCAACACTATCCAGCACCTTCAAAAGGAAAAGAATGTCGGCGGATCTGAGGGCAAAGCAACAGTCGCTACTCAAACTTTGGCTGCAATGAACAGCACAGCTGTCCCAGTGGCAAGTACAGCAGCTGCTCAAACTTCAACTGCAACAGACAGCGCGGTTACCCCAGCTCCAAGCACAGTAGCTACACCACCCCCACAAACACAGCCCTACCATCTGCCATGGACTGATCCAGACTGCACTGGAACAGGGGCAAGCTCCAGAACACCTGCAATACATTGATGACATTATTGTGTGGGGCGATACAGCGGAAGAAGTCTTTGAGAAAGGGAGGAAAATAATCCAAATCCTGCTGAAAGCCGGTTTTGCCATAAAACGGAGTAAGGTCAAGGGACCTGCACAGGAGATTCAATTTTTGGGAATAAAATGGCAAGATGGACGTAGACAGATCCCCACAGATGTGATCAACAAGATAACAGCAATGTCTCCGCCAACTAATAAGAAAGAAACGCAAGCTTTCTTGGGTGCAGTGGGGTTCTGGAGAATGCACATCCCAAATTACAGTTCGATTGTAAGCCCTCTCTATCATGTGACCCGGAAGAAGAATGATTTTAAATGGGGCCCTGAGCAGCAACAAGCCTTTGAGCAAATTAAACGCGAGATAGTTCATGCAGTAGCCCTTGGACCAGTCCGGACCGGACCAGATGTAAAAAATGTACTGTACACTGCAGCTGGGGAGAACGGTCCTACCTGGAGCCTCTGGCAGAAAGCTCCAGGGGAGACTCGAGGTCGACCCCTCGGCTTTTGGAGTCGGGGATATATAGGATCTGAGGCCAGCTATACCCCAACTGAGAAAGAAATACTGGCAGCCTATGAAGGGGTTCGAGCTGCTTCGGAAGTGATTGGCACTGAAGCACAGCTCCTTCTGGCACCCCGGCTGCCCGTGCTGGGCTGGATGTTTCAAAGGCAGGGTCTCCTCTACACATCATGCAACCGATGCTACATGGAGTAAATGGGCTGCACTAATTACACAACGAACTCGAATAGGAAATCCCAGTCGTCCAGGCATTCTAGAAGTCATCATGGACTGGCCAGAGGGCAAAGATTTCGGAATGTCACCAGAGGAGGAGGTGATGCGCGCTGAAGAGGCCCCACCATATAATAAACTGTCAGAAAGTGAAAAGCAGTATGCCTTGTTTACTGATGGCTCTTGCCGTATTGTGGGAAAACATCGGAGATGGAAGGCAGCTGTATGGAGTCCTGGACGACAAGTTGCAGAAACTGCTGACGGAGAGGGTGAATCGAGTCAGTTTGCCGAGGTGAAAGCCATCCAGCTGGCCCTGGACATTGCTGAACGAGAAAAGTGGCCAGTACTTTATCTCTATACTGACTCATGGATGGTGGCAAATGCCCTGTGGGGGTGGTTGAAGCAGTGGAAGCAGAGCAACTGGCAACGCAGAGGTAAACCCATCTGGGCTGCTGCACTGTGGAAAGATATTGCTGCCAGGGTGCAGAACCTGGTGGTGAAGGTACGTCATGTAGATGCCCATGTACCCAAGAGTCGGGCCACTGAGGAACACCAGAACAACCAACAAGTGGATAAAGCGGCTAAGATTGAAGTGGCTCAGATGGACTTAGATTGGCAACGTAAAGGTGAATTATTTTTGGCCCGGTGGGCCCATGACACTTCAGGCCATCAGGGCAGAGATGCAACATATAGATGGGCCCGTGACCGAGGGGTGGACTTAACAATGGACACTATTGCCCAGGTTATTCATGAGTGTGAAACATGTGCTGCAATTAAACAAGCCAAGCGGTTAAAGCCTCTTTGGTATGGAGGACGATGGTTGAAGTATAAATATGGGGAGGCCTGGCAGATTGACTATATCACACTGCCACCAACCCGCCAAGGCAAGCGCCATGTGCTTACCATGGTGGAAGCAACCACCGGGTGGCTGGAAACATACGCCGTGCCCCATGCCACTGCCCGGAACACCATCCTGGGCCTTGAGAAACAAATTTTGTGGCGACACGGCACCCCAGAGAGAATTGAGTCAGACAATGGGACTCATTTCCGGAATAACCTTATAGATATTTGGGCCAAAGAGCATGGCATTGAGTGGGTATATCACATCCCCTACCATGCACCAGCCTCTGGGAAAATCGAACGGTACAATGGGCTGTTAAAAACTACACTGAGAGCGATGGGTGGGGGAACTTTCAAGCATTGGGATACACACTTACCAAAGGCCACCTGGTTGGTCAACACCAGAGGATCTGCCAACAGGGCTGGCCCAGCCCAGTCAGAACTGTTACATATTGTAGAGGGGGACAAAGTTCCCGTGGTGCATATGAAGAATTTGCTGGGAAAGACAGTCTGGGTAATTCCTGCTTCAGGTAAAGGCAAACCCACTCGTGGGATTGCTTTTGCTCAGGGACCTGGATATACTTGGTGGGTAATGCGGGAAGATGGGGAAGTCCGATGTATACCTCAAGGGGATTTGATTTTAGGGGAAAACAGCCAGTGAACTCAATTGTATGCTGTTGCCTGCTGTGTAATGCTTTTATAGCCCATCAACTAGATGTCTCCAGGTCACAAGCGACTGGCCCTGACTTCCCTCCAGCCATCATCCCAACAGAGAATGAACTTTGAACATCATGGACCGAATGGACTCGGCAGCATTATAGGGATTGGTCCATGCACTAAGAAAATGATTTTTCCTCTTGGTCTGTATGTATATGGATGTATATATGTGGGAGAGCGATGGTGTATTGAAAAATGTGGGATCTGAGCACGACGTGAATGGTATGGAATAAGGGGTGGATAATGTCCTGGGTTCCGCAGTAGCAGTCATGTTTTTTCCTTTGTGTTAACTGGTACAGTGCTGTGTTTTGACTTCCAGTTTGAGAACAGTGTTGGTGAAGCCGATGTTCTCGGTTGTTGCTAAGTGATGTTTACCCTGACCAAGGACTCTGTGAGGCTCATGCTCTGCCAGGGAGGAGGGGAGGCTGTGAGGAAGCAGAGACGGGGCGCCTGACCCGGGCTAGCCGGGGAGGTATTCCATACCACAGCACGTCATGCCCGGGGTGAGGGGTAACTGGGAGTTACCCGGAAGGACAGGGTTTTCCGGGTGGAGCTCGTTTTCTCTTGGCCGGTGGTATCGTATTCTCTTCCCTTGTTATTTTCCCTTATCATTGTTGTAGCTGATAGTAGCGGTGGTGATTTGTTGCTGGACTGTTTTTGTCTCAACCCGTAGGAGTTGCACTCTCTCGATCCTCCTCCCCGTTCCTCCGGGAGCGGGGAAGGGGAGAGCCCCGGTGCGGGGAGGCAGGGGGGAGACGGACACGGACCTCGATTGTTGTCAGCTCGGCACCACTCACTGGGAGTGAGTGAACAAGCTACCTGACTGGGTTTAAACCACGACAAGCTTTTAATAAACTGAGTGTCAGATGGTAGCAGCAGAATGCTCTTTTTAGAGAGCTTCTGTCCCTTATAACAGTTGTAATAGAATAAACTTAGAAGTTTGACACTACTTAAACAACTTTTCATTTACTCCATTTAAAATACACTACCAGCTTAAACAAGAAATGCAGTGCCTCTACATGACTGCTTACTCTTATTAATCACTGCTCCTCTTCAGGTTAATAAAAAAATTTAAGACAAGTTGATATAACACAAGTTACAGAATACAACAAAACAAATATAATGGAATTACTCCCTCCCAAAACCTGCAGAAAACTGCAAAAATATTACTTGCCATTTTACAAATTAGCCCAAATTCCACCTTGTTTATAATGAATCACCACAAATTATGTACATATGACAGGAGCCAATACAATTTCATTGCCAGCTCTATTATGTAACTTTAGGTATATCACATTTAAGTAGCTTCCTTTATCAACCAGATTAATAATCTCTTCAAGGAATGAAATCAGCTTCAGTTGAGGTCTTTAAACAAACAATCCCAGAAGTAAGGACATGGAAGGATAAGCAAATGAAACTCGTAACACTGATTTTACTTAGGATGTACACTAAAGTGATCTACAGCTCCATTAGCCATGCTAATTTCCCATTTTGAGTGGTGAGTCAGTAAAGTTCCAGAAAACTGGAAGAAGGCTGGTTCACAAGAAAAACACTTTACACAAACTGCAGGCCAGACAACCCTCAGAACTCATGAGTAAAACTGTCAATTTAAAAAGGTCAGCCTTGGCAAGCATTGCTTAATTATGTTGGTTACTATTCATGTCCTTCTGATTAATTAAGTAGTTTTCTTCTGTTTTCTTTCTAAATGAAAATCTGAATAACTCTCCAACAGTAGAAGCACTTTTATAAAGATTAACATATTTTTGTAATTTCTAAGAATAGTTTTAACACACAAGAAATATGGAATGCAAACCACCTCCTTAGCCAAACTATGTGGAAAAATCTTATTATAAGTACTATGACTTCAGATATATATGGGAACTTAACACAAGTTGACTCCAACGTGCTTTTAATTGTGCTCATTCGACTACTGGACCAAGACAGCTTTTGACATATTTTCTTTTTGTCTTGATTGTTCTATTGAGAAAAAAAAAAAAATGGACTTGCATTTAAAAAGCTAATACCTTGCTCTTACGTCAAATATTTTAGAACGTTCACATTTATAATTCTCCTAGGAAAATGTTTTAGAGAATTTCAGTGAAAGTCGAAACTAGAAACTTAGATGAACATTACTTCAAGGCTGCATGCACCTGCAGTAGGATCAAAGCTGCATGTTACAGCAGTTAGCCAATTTTAGATAATCAAATATACTCCAACAAAAGACAAGGCACTTCGCAGTTTTTGTTCCGTTGATAAAAAGGAACATGAGAAACAGTCTGTAGTTTTTTCGAACTAGAAGAGGTCCGAGTACAGTTTTGTTCTTGCAAAGGCCAACTTATGCAGAAAGATCTCAGAGAAGATGGTGATAGTTGGGGAAAACAGACATCAGAGGGCAAGCTAGCGAGGCAGAAACTTAAAAACACGGAGAAGAAACTACACAGGATCTAGCCATGGCTGACCTAGCCAGAAAGAACGAGGGCAGACTCCGATACGTGGCAGCAGAAGGGGCCGCGGCACCGGTCGGAAGCCACCCGAAGGGGCGGTCACCCCTACGCTCCCTGTCTGCAAAAGGCTCCCAGCCCTTCCCGCCCCATCGCCTGCGCAGTCCGGCCTGGCCTGCGGCTGGGCACAGCCCGCGGCCCTCTGGGGCACGCCGAGGCCCCGACGCTCGTTTTCAGGCTTGTTCACGATTAGTCAGCGCAGCTCCACAGAGAAACCCTTTCCCCAGGGGAAAGCAACGCCACGGGGTCAGGCTGGAGACTGACCCACCCTGAGGGCCGGACGCTCCCAGGGTAAAGACTGGGCGGGAAGGAGGCAAGTGACAGCCCAGCCGAGAGGGACCGGGCGAAGGACCTCAGGGATCAGCAAGGGCCTGCCCGCTCCAGCCCGGCGGCTCCCCTCTGCCCCTCGCACAGCGTACAAGCCGGTACCTTTCAGGACGGGCTCCATTCGCCGCGCGGCGCAACACAACACCAAGATTCCGGAACCCGCCACAGTTTAAATCCACCTCCACACCGAGCCAGGCCTGCGCGCTGCATTAGGCTCCATCGGCGCGCCTGCGCGCTGCAGCAGGGTTCAGTCGCGCCTGCGTGTTGTTCCCGGGCGCGGGGTAGGTGCCGAGAGGGTGGGTTTAGTGGTGTTTGTGTGGTCCCGGCGTGTGTGTGAGTCTGTGGCAGGGCTGGATGTGTGAGGGATGTAGATCCGGTGTTGTTGGTGCCGTGGTTGTAGAAGTCGGGGACTCAAAGTAGTTCTGCCCGCCTGGAGTCTCCGAATCCTGTGTGCAGTTCTGGGCCCCTCAGTGCAAGAAGGACATTGAGGTGCTGGAGCATGTCCATAGAAGGGCAATAAAACTGGTGAAGGGTCTGGAGAACAAGTCTTAAGAGGAGCATCTGAGGGAACTGGAGTTGTTTAGTCTGGAGAAGAGAAGGCTCAAGGGGGACCTTACTGCTCTCTACCACTGCCTGAAAGGAGGTTGTAGTGAGGTGGGGGTTGGTCTCTCAAGTAATAAGTGATAGGACAAGAGGAAATGGCCTCAAGCTGTGCCGGGGGGGTTTACATTGGATATTAGTAAAACTTTCTTCACAGAGAGGGTGATGAAACATTGGAAGAGGTTTCCCAGGGAAGTGGTGGAATCACTGCCCTTAGAAGTCTTCATAAACCGTGTAGATGAGTCCATCAATGAAATGGTTTAGTGGTGGATTTGGCAGTCCTGGGTTAATGGTTTGATGATCTTAAAGGTCTTTTCCAACATGGTCGATTCTATGATTCTGGTTGGTTTTTTTGCAAATAGGTGTGCTCCATCCAGAGAGCTCCAGCCAAGCCTAGCTCTGGGGGAAGTCCAGGGCATCCCAAACATAGCTGAAAATGTTTTGAAAAGGTAGACAATAAGTGAGTTGTCTCTGTTCATCATGAGAAGTTCTCAGGAGGCTTCTAGTTTGTAGGAAGGTGTGTCAGCACCAATGTCTTCTGAACTCTGGTGGCTCAAAGTGCAGTGTTGAAGTGAAAAAAATAACAGAGAAAACCAAGCAAGCTGGGATTAGGGAATGGGCATGGCCAAGCAGTATTCACAGAAGCACCCACAATTACTTGAGGGCAACTCTACCATTAACTGTAGTATGTTCACCCTTGCATGAAGTGGCTCTAGGGCTGGAAGGCTGGAGTGTAGCAAATGTGCTTCCCTAGGAAAAATTATATAATGAATAATAAAATAATAGAATTGATGAGTATAAGGAGATTTACAATCATAAAGTAAGTGCATTTTTTTTTAAAGAAAAATGATGCTTCACAGCTTTATTACGCAACTCGGCTCAGAAGCACTAGCACTGCTATAAGGTTGTATAAGTTGGTGCTGTTCTGAAATCTTTGATGTGAAATCCTTGTCTCTTCATCTGAAAAATAATGCAGTAGAAATGGAAAAAAACATAGAGATACAAAACAAGGGTACTGCTTGATTTCCATATAAGTATCTATTTAGACAAAGACTCATTAGCTTGGAAAAGGAATGGTGAAAGGCAGATGTACTAGAGGTCTCTAAAATTGTGAACACATGGAGGCGGACATAGAGCAGTGTGTTCTCAATGAGAATTAGCAGGCACCAAATGAAACTAGAAGATGGGGTGTTCTTGGAAGAGGTGTTTCCACATTGTGCCTCATCAGGCCGTGGAAGTGTGTTCAGAGTGTTGGCTGGTTTCTGGAAGTAAATTCAGCAAATTAGTGAATTCCATTTTGGGTCTATTAGAGGTGTACAAAACCACTTTTACCTCAGTAAAGCTCTGAATTGCAGATTGCTGGACTCTGAGAAGGTGTAGCAAACGCTCTGGGATTTTCTTTTAATCCTTTTTTCCGTCACCTCCCACTGGAAAAACAGTGTTGACATAGAAAGGATTTGGTGTGGTCCACTATGCCAAAAACTTAAATCTTGAGCCCTAGGAATTTACCAAGCAGATGGCTATACCAGTGCTGTTTAAGGTATCTTTAGTATATAATATTTTAGTATTGATACAATTTATTTCATTTCCAGAGCATTAAATGCAACCCTAGGTCTATGGCATGTGTTGAGCACAAGCTCTTTGGTCCTCTTGTCTTCTGAACCTGCAGCAGACTTCCTTTCACTTATGTATTTATTATGTGAATAAAGTAGCCAGTCAATCTATGTATATATGTTTGTGTATGGTTATCCTTTGTACTTCTTACAGAACTCTCTAATAAGCAATAATGAAATATTTTTACAAAGGTTCTCAATCACTGCTCAAGGAAAAGGGAGTCTAGTCTTCATGCAGTGTCTATGAAGGTTGGTCTGAAGGCAATTCCAGAAGTGGAGGCAGGGAGGGTCAAATGTGTGCTGTCAGAGAAATTCACTTCTCAGTGCTGTTGGAGATAATCTCCTGTGCAGTGAGAGCTCTCTGGTGTGTGTGGATACAGAAATAACATAAAAGAGGCAGCATTTAACCTTTAAAACTCTGGCCCAACTTAAATTAGTGGAAGTCTTGTCCCTGAGTTAGTACTTAGATTCAGAACCATTTCTAAATTAGTGATTATGGGTAGAATAAGTAGCTGTGACTTTTCAGTGGAGGTTGGAAACCCACGTAATAAAACTGGGGTGTTCAGGAGATTAGCAAGCAGATCAAATTCTGTTAAGCATGTGTAAATAACATTGGTTCAAAATTGGGTACACCCACACAAGCTCTTTGGCTTGGGATGGGATAGGAAACTGTGTAATGTGAGATAGCTAAGGTAGTACCACAATAAGAAAACATGGTACTACCTTCACCATATCTGTGAACATGATGTTTTTCTGAATAGTTTCAAGCTGTGTCAGTGGGATAGTTCAGCTCAATCCGCATGACCAAAGCTGACACAAACAACAGGCTCCTACAGCCAGTAGTTTTAATGAAATTAAAATCTTGTGAGAAGGAAATTTCAGAATAATTTAAATGCATTAATCTGTAGGTATGTGAACAGGCATACTAGTTAATCTGGGATACAAGTCTGAAGACTTTCAGTAGAAGAAACACAGGCTGTGTTTGAGCTGTTAACTGAAAAGTAGTAGCAGGTTTTATAGACTCTAAAGGAAAGTATGGGGAAACGTACAATTATACCTGTGTGTTCTGATCTTACATGGGTAGAGACAATGGAGAATTGTAGCTTCAAGATGGTGGTGCAACTCATTATTGGAGTAGACTGGGACTAGTAATGAGAACTGAACTTGGGATACCCACCTTTTTATTACAGAGACAGATATATACAACACCAAAAATATCTCATGGATTTACAGTTTTGATCTCACAGTTACTTCAAGTTTTACAAGAATTTCATTCTTGCATGGTGATAAAACTTCAAAATTCCACTGGTAGTTAATAGCTGTCTGATTTTATGCCAGTATTGTCTTGCTGTCAGTTCCTCCTTATTGTTTATCATCCTGTTGTACTTACAGAAAGCAGCAATATATTTTTACAGCTGCTATTTTACCAGTTTGAATACATCAAGCTGTTTTAGCTTTTGTGGCATAATGAAATCCTGAAAATGACAGCAAATGAGGTGGAAGTAATGTAAGTGCCCTCTTAATAGGCTTGTTTGGCTTGATGATGCAGAATTTCATGGTGTCTATAAAGCTAGGAATAGAGCATAAAGTCTGTTAGGCTGACATGGTTTCTGTACAGTGAGTATTTGCTGGGATGTACAGGCTATAGAATACTGCACTGGGAAGAAAGAGTTTTACAGGTTACATTATGTTGAAAAAAGGAAGGACCATTGAGAGTTATATTTCAGTTGATCTCCTGATCAAAAAGAAGTAATAGTTCCAAAGTAAAAGTCCTATGAACACCTGAATGTTTCCTAGGCATCCAAACAGTCTTGAAAAACTGAAAAACCCCCACAACCCTACAACACAGTAATTTTCCAAAATTAAATAAAATAAGGAGCTGTATTCTCAAGTATTTATTTGGTAATTCAAAAGATTCCCTTAACTGACTTATACAAATTTGGAAGGATCTTTGGGGTGATATTTTGTGAGGCTGTAACACACAGACAAGGTTAATAATGCAGCAGAATTGGAAAAAACAATAGAATATTAATGTTAATAAAGCCTCTGTTGAGGCCGTCTGCAAATTTCATATGCACACACTTACTTTATTTCCAAGGTCATAATTCAAATATTAAGTAAGATGGGATCTTAACTGGTTTTAAGACTTAACTGGGTCTTAACTGCTCATTCAGGATCTCCATTAGAATCTTTAGTTTTTCCACTGCTGTATCCCATCTTATCCCCGTCTACCTTCCCCACATTGGACTTCTTGAACAAACCCCTTCGACATATACAGTAATAACATATTTCAGATGGTTAATTAAAGCAACATGGGTTTGGTCTTTGTCACCTTTGTCTAGCAAACTATTATCTTATAGAAAAGAGGTATATGCTAGCATGATACAAAGTATCTTGTTACATGCAGTTGTCAGGTTTTGTCTTTTCCCTAAGCCATACATTGCCCCTAAATGCTTTTTCCTTTCTCCTGTCCTATTCAACAAAGTTGTTCCTGAGCAGTTAGCACCAGGAACACAACTTTGAGCCCGAGAATGGCCATCTCCAGCTGGTTAGAACTGAATTTTGATGACACACGGTGGAATTACAGGGCAGGAAACCATCTGAAATTGGTACTAATATAGCTCGAAATTGGGGCCACACTAGTGAGACTCATACTGCCATTTTTCATACCACATTGTAATCTGACACTCATGCTGGCAGTAGTTTGTGTTGAACTGTTGTAAATAAGGTATCGGAGTCATGCCTCAGTAGTCTTGAAGACATTCTAGTCTCATTGCTTCTTCACAAGCAGAATGCCTCCTGAGATTGCCAACAGTGGCTTGTTTGTTTTCCTTTTTTCCACCTTTGACTGATGCTTAAATGAGCATGTTTTAGCTTTCCACTTCTGCTCCACAGAACAATGAAAGCTTTTCTGTTTTGCAGAGTAATTCAGTCAACAAAAACAGACAAGAGGAAATTCTTATCTCATATTTTCCCTGTTTATTTTAATATACATTGTGTAGAGTATTAGTATAT